AACATTTTAACGGTCTATCACTTGATCACTGCCTCAATATAAAGGAACTATTTCTTGTTAAAGGAGACTTTCACAATGTCTGCTTCCACACCAAGGTGATTCTGGGTATAGCTCTCAGTGCTGCTGTGAATGCAGATATACTCATAGTGGCAATGGAGCACCCACATGGAAGTTCCCGCCCCACACACATATTCCTTGCCTCCACTCTGTGGGCAGCATTTACCCCCTGCTTTTTCCAGGCTTTTCAACATCAGTGTTGAAACGTCCTTGAACAGTTGAGCCCTTTATTGTAGAAGAACATTTGGATTAAGACGTGGTATAGATTATGGGCTAATGTGTCTATTTCAGTGCCTCTTTATCTTTAATTATGAAACCCCAGTGCAAGGGGAGGGGGTTACAGGACAAAGGATCAAACCACGCCAACATCGCCAGTGCCCGAAGTCTGACATTTGCGCAACAGCTTCTAGGAGCTCAGTTTCTCAAAGAAGAAGATTGCTGATATTTTGCAAGCAGCCTTCTCTTTGCAGAGGTAATCATCACCTTTCCTAAATTATAGCCATGCTGCTGGATGCTCAGGCCTTCCAAGACTTTGTAGTCTGTCCTTGTATTTCTATAATGTGGGCAAGATTACATCAGATTATTCAATTATGGGCTGACTGGTGGCTTGGCCCTGCTGCCATGCGGGCAGATCCCGACAGACTCAAGACAACAATTGAGAACTGAAATCCAGGAGGCAAAAGCTCTTATTCACACCCATGTAATTCATTGGTAGAAGACCAATTCTTTTGTTGGGTCACTTGACTCTCACCCAAACCAAACCAAAGTTCTCAACTGATGGGTGGGGGGATGCTCATGACAGGCTGTAATGAAATTTGTTTGGGTTCATGATTCAGAACAAAATCTGACAGTTCTGGAGAAAAGAAAGTGTTCAGCCGCAAGCATACCCTCCTTTTGAAAACCAAGCCGATCCTCAACACATGACAAAGGGCAGATTGCAATGTTGTAGAACACTGTCTTATAGCCAGTACATTATAATTACTAGAGGGGGACCTCAATGGAAGCTAAAACCACACATGAACAACCTTTACACTATTTATTTAAAATGCTTATATTCCGCCTTTCCCCATTCATGGACTTCACAGTGCCTTATAACCAACTCAAGAAAAACAAAAAGAAAACACCATATTGAAAACCCACAACAATAATCCCCTACCAATGCCAACAAACATCCATTGAACACACATGAACACACGAAGCGGCTCACACTGAATCAGACCATTCATTCATCAAGGTCAGTATTGTTACTATAAAAAATCCCGAACACAGACATCTAATTCTTTTGGCAAGACATAATTCCCTCCCAACAGCCAAAAAACCAGGAAGGCTTAAAGGTATTCCCTGGAATGAAAGAAATTATTCTTGTGTGTCTGGAGCGATAGAAACCATCTCACGTTTGCTGTTACGCTGTCCTTTGTTTATTGAAGCTAGGTGTGGTATCTCTTGTCAACTATGACGTTTAGTGTTTGAGAACGTTACTATAAAAAATCCCAAACACAGACATCTAATTCTTTTGGCAAGATATAATTCACTCCCAACAGCCAAAAAACCAGTAAGCCTTAAAGGTATTCCCTGGAATGAAAGAAATTATTCTTGTGTGTCTGGAGCAATAGAAACCATCTCACGTTTGCTGTTACACTGTCCTTTGTTTATTGAAGCTAGGTGTGGTATCTCTTGTCAACTATGACGTTTAGTGTTTGAGAACACTTCAGACCAACACGGCTACCCACTTGGATCTATGTTCAGTGCTCTAATAATTATATTATTCACAGCATAGCGGGAACATTGTTTTGAAACTGCGGGAACATTGTTTTGAAACTGTTGTTTTCAAACAACGTGGGCTGGCTGGAAGCTGTTGCTATATCTCTTGCATACACTTTTAAAATGATCTTAGTATTTATTGTTTTATTGTTTTTGTTGTATCCATAATCCCGCCATCCTATGGTTGAAGGGATTAACAACGAAATAAAGAAATAAACAAAAAAGTGTTGTCTGCTTTGACTCCACAGTCTCAGGCCAGAGATCTATCACATCACCTACTGCCTGGTCCTTTTAACTGAAGTTCCAGGTGATTGAACCTGAGATCTTCTGCATGCCATGCAGATGCTCTGCCACTGAGCCACAGCCCCATAAATCCCTACTAACAGGGACATCACCTTGCAGTTCTATGCCTTCCTCACGTTCTCCCAGTAGCCCATGCCACAGGCTGATGCGCAACAGAACAAAAAGTGGGCTTGACAGGGAACAAAGAAGCAAACTTGATTGGCAGGGATGGTGAAGAGAAGCTGATGCTAGCACATGGGTTCAAATGGGAAGAGATGCTCCTTCAGAGGTATGGGTCCCAAAGGTGTGAAGGGCTTTAAAGGTAAGAACTGGAACCGTAAACTGAGTTCAGAAACAAACAGCCAGCCAATGCAAGTGTTTTAGAACAGGAGAAATATGTTCATCTCATCTAATCCTGGAAAACAAATGGGTTGCTGAGTTTTGTATCAAACTGAAGTTTCCAAGTTGTCTTCAAGGGCAGCCCCTACATACAATGCTGTAGCTCAACTGTGATGTAACAAAAGCATAGATCATCATGGCCAGATGAGCAGATTTCATAGGAGAGAGAGTTCACAAAACAGATGTAATATTTTTTTTAATTATTATTAAATAATAAAAAAGATGTAAAAGGTATTTTGGACATTACATTAACCTCGAATGATAAAAGGGTTGGAACACTTTCCTTATGAGGAAAGGTTAAATCGCTTAGGGCTCTTTAGCTTGGAGAAACGACGACTGAGGGGTGACATGACTGAGGTTTATAAGATTATGCATGGGAAAGAGCAGGTAGAGAAAGAGGTACTTTTCTCTCTTTCTCACAATACAAGAACTCATGGGCACTCCATGAAATTGCTGAGCGGTCGGGTTAGAACGGATAAAAGGACGTCCTTCTTCACCCAAAGAGTGATTAACACTTGGAATTCACTGCCACAGGAAGTGGTGGCGGCTACAAGCATGGACGGCTTCAAAAGGGAATTAGATAAGCATATGGAGCAGAGGTCCATCAGTGGCTATTAGCCACAAGGTATAGATAGGGGCTCTGGGGCAAGTGATGCTCTGTCATCTTGGTGCTTGGGGGGGGTCAACAGTGGGATGGCTTCTAATGTCCAGGCCCCACTGGTGGACCTCCTGATGGCACTGGTATTTCTGGCCACTGTGTGATACAGAGTGTTGGACTGGATGGGCCTTTGGCCTGATCCAACATTGACATCTCTTATGTTCTTATTAACCTGTTTTTCAAACAACAGAGCTGGGTCTGTAAAGGCTAAATTCTTCATGTGACCTACAAATGATAACTTCATCCAAGGTGACCATGTCCGTACCCTCAAGGACATCGGCCTACCCAACCAGCTTCACCTCCATTTTGTCTGGATTCAGCTTCATTTTGTTCTGTCTTAGCCACTTAACCACAGCCTCAAGAGCAACATAGGAGAACCAACACTGCAGTGCTTGGGGACTTAGGAAAATAACACACATAGAGCTGGCTACATAAATAGGGTTGCCACCTCAGTATCGGAGATCAGCTGTAATTCTGGAATATCTCCAGGCCCCACCTTGAGGTTGACAAGCATATAGACAGAGGATATTGACAACATCCAGCTGTGAAGCACTGGATGATCTAATTCAATGGTCTGACAGAACTATTAAGGAATACTGGTGAGAGAACTGGTCACTGCATCACTCTGTGGGTTAGGCCCCAAACTACCAACTTGGCTTCTCTGGTGGAAACTCTTTGGGTGATTTCCCACAAGCGCTGCTCTGCGCTCACTCTTCTCTTTGGCCTGATGGTACGTGTGAATTTCACACAAGCTGCTGCGCGACCGCATTTTGCCCCGCAGCTTCGTGTCATTTTCCCCACGTCTACTCAATCCTGTTTCTTGAGGATTGAGTAGACACGGGGAAAATCGCAGGAAGCTGCGGAGCACAGCGAAACTCTTTGTGTACATTTAGACAAAAAAGACCACATCTCATCCTAGGGCTAGCTCCTTAGTACCTATGCCATGTTGTAAACCCTGTGGTATAATGGAGTGATCCACCACCTCAACGGCTGCTAACAAAGCTAACTTCATTAACGGTTGAAACGTTTGGTCTCCGATTATAGAGTACTTGATGGATAATGAAATAGTTCCAAAAAACACATATTATAACAACATTCTGTATTTTTGAAAAAATCTAGATTTGTTGTTAGGGTAAATGATCAATTTACTGTCCTGCATCATTGTATATTTTGTAATCTGGCAATATGTTTGGTATTGTGTAGAAAAGTATTGTATTAGTATTCTGTTGAGATGTTAATATAAATACAATTATTAATTTTTTAATTTTTTTTTTTAAATAACGGTTGAAACTATACACAATATTTTACAGGCAGAGTGGGCAGTTTGAGAAAATTTTCTTTCCACAGGTGAGCTCTGTTCTCCAGACCATAGAGATGAGCCCCTGAAGAAAACGGCTGCTTTGGAGGGTGGACTCAATGGCATTATACCCAGCTGAAGTCATTCCCCCTCCACAAGCCCTGCACTTCCCCCAAATCTCCAAGGATTTCCCATTCCAGAGCTGGCAATCCTAGCAGGGTATCAGAGGGGAATGGACACCAACCAGCCCTGTTGCTGCCATGCCCTGCCCACTAGGAGGTGCCCTGGTGGGCCGTCTTATCTTTCCCTCACCCATAATGCAGGGGTGAGGAGAGTAGGTGATGTTTTCCTGTCTCCCCATGGTGTGTGTGTGGGTGGGGAGGCATGTGGGCGATTGCCCTCCCCAAAATCTTTGGGCTAGCTCTGAACAAAGTACAGGGTGGGTTTGGGAGAAGGAAGGGTATCTCAAAGACATGAAGGGATAATAAAAAACAGGAGTGGCAACAACACAAGAAAACACAACAGAATGCTGCAAAAGACTCTTACCTCGCTGTCTTCCGCAGGGGGTGGGGGTGGCTCCTTAATAATCTAGAAGGAACGAACAATAAACACAGAAGGTTAATGCCAGAACCACCTGCATACAGCCTCTTCCCCAAGGAGTTCAAGGTAGTACAAAGGGTCCCCCCCCCCTCATTATCACTACATCCCTCATGCAAGAGAGGTTAGGCTAAGAGAGAATAAATGGCCTAAGGTCACCCAGGGAACTTTGTGGCTGAGTTGTAATTAGCACCTGGCTTTCTCCAGGCAAAATCCAGCATGTTAGTCACTAACCAATAGCAGGCCCTGTATTACAGGCAGGATTTAAACTAAGCCAGGGCTCATCCCTAGAACATGTTGGATATTAACAGAGCCACCTCCAAGTATGTGCCTAGTGCTCTTCCCTCTTCACTAAAAAGTCACAGCTCACACTAAGGCATTGGTAAGGCAAGACTGTTCAAATCTTACCTTGGCCACAAAAATCATTACATAAGCCACTATCTCTAAGACTCTGGCTCCTATCAAAAGCTACATCATAAATATATTGGCTGACCTTACAAGGGGGCTGTAAGAATTACTTAGGTAAGCTGAAGCACTTTGAACCTTCTAAACATACTATATAGATGCTCAGTTCTATTTGTCACATTTTCCCCCACCCTTTCTCCAAGGAGGCCAGGGTGGTGTATATAGTTCTCCCATCTTTCACACACAATCAGAAAGCTGGACTCTTGTAGCTCACAGGGCCTAGAGCCAAAAGGCTCTGAAGTGAGTCGCAGTCCCAAATGTTCCTTCCTACCAGAGCCATTCTGCCACTTCCTCATCAGCACAAGGCAGCTGTACTCGATCCATCGTTTTAGATTTAATAGATGCATCTCTCCCCAAGAACTTGGTAATAAAATGCCTGCACAGTTTAGGGGTTCCTCCAGCATTTGGGGGGGGGGGAGCAGACAATGTGGGTGAGATTTTTAAAAGCTCCTCTGGCAGTGTTTTTGCCATAGAGACAGAGCTGATGTGGGGTGAGGCTGTTATTTCGCGCAGAACTTTGCATCTCCAGCTTAGCAAGCAGCTGGCGAACACTGCAGCTCTTCTCTCCAAGAGCAACAGACAGCCATCCAGCAGGAAAGCTGGAACAGAGAGGCACCTCCAGCATCTCCCCCGAGCCCAGAACCAGCCTTGGCCAGAACCTTTCTGAAATCCATGAACTAAATCCTTATCCTGTAAAGTGAGGGAAACACATGGCATAGCATTTGTTTTGTTTTCCATGCACGTATATCCACCTCACACACTGTAGTGTGAGTAGGTGGTTCATTTCCAAGGTTGTGTGTACCATGAACCAAAACCCGTAAGTAAAATTCTGTATCTAAGGACCAAACGAGACATGACGTTTTGCACAAATCACTTCTGGGGCTTCCCTGACCTGCCTCTGATTGTGTTACAGCCAAATGTTACATGTAGGAAACAAAATTCCTAAGTGCACTGGAGCCCGATTTGGCTCAGCCATGGCACAGGAGAGGCTTCAGCCTTTGCCCTGCACCATTCTCCAGAGCTGAAACACTCCCCATGGGGATGTAGGTACAGAACTGGGTCCTGGCCATGCTTGGGACACTTGTTTCCCGCATGTAACATTTGGCTGTGTGACATGATCAAAGTCAGGCTGGGGGAACCTCAGACCTGACTCATGCCAAACACCACATCTAGTCTGGCTCTAAGAAACCCAAATTCTGTGCCAGGAAATAGATGATTTTTGCAACCTGTATAAACTATGCAAATTGAGCATTTGCTCATTTCCCCTTGTTTTCCATAACCCATTGAGCATTTTTTTTAACAGTGTTGCCTAATTTATTCTGGTTTAATTTGTGCTACAAAGAGCTAAGGAGCTGTGCAGCCCTGACACTGCACCTCTTGAATGCTGGAAGTGTTGGTCGGCTACCTCTTGGGCTTCA